GTATGCCCTGAGTTCTTCTTAAAGGTTGTTGTGGTGCTGGAAGGTGAACCTCTGTCCTAGTCTCAGGTCTGTGAGACCACATCAGCTGCCATCCCTTAGTCCTTGCCAGGTCCAAGGGGGCATCTAGGATAACCTCATACTGAGCTAATCAGAAAGTCGAAGTTAATTCCAGAGCAGGAAATACATTGACTGGGCCTTCGTTGGGCCTGAAGGCCACAACAGACGCACTGTTAATTACCAGGTCTACACAGTCCAAGGGTTTATTTCTGGGAGTGAAGCTTATCAAAGGGAATCATGGGCAGCATTTCTAACAAGCTGAGCATCATACTGATGTTGTCCCAACCAATATTAACATGCCTTTTGCCTGGGGAAATAAGTGCCTTAGTCTATGTTTCCCTACAATAAAGTCAGAGCGTACCACTTTCACTTCAATAGGGCTCATTACAACGCTCTACCTGGCAAATAACTGAGTTGCCTGAAGGGAAGCCCAAGCCTAGGTTCACTAGTGATAATCTGTGTGTTCTGTTCACTTGTAGGGGTACGGTTTCTTTCAGGGCCGGACTGGGACAAAAAATAGGCCAGGGCATTTTGGACGGAGCAGCCCAATCATGTGACCCCGAAGGCCCCGCCCCCAATCCAGGGGCGGGCCCAAAAACTGAAGCGCAATCAAGGGGCAGGGCCAGTTGCTGGTAAGTACAGGAGGGCTACAGTTGACTTGCTGGACGCAGGGATTAGAAACGCGCTGGACACAGGTCTTGTTCACACAGAAAGCGTGTGCCTTCCAGAGCGGTAGCTGCTGGAACGCACTGCAATCGCTGAGAAACTTCCCCCCGCGATTTGGGTCGGGAGGAGGTGTGGCGGTGCATTGAATTCAATGGCACCGATTCCGTGGCCCCCTGCCCACAGTGCAATCGGAGGCATGGCAAAACTTTGCCAGCGTTCCGTTCCACTGCAAATGCAAAAAAAGCAAGCCCTTTTTTTGCACTTCAGGCAATCGCACTGCGGGCACCACCACGCTCCCTCCCGCCCCAAAATGTGGGGGGAAATTTCTCAGCGATCACGGTGCGTTCCAGCAGCTACCGCTCTGGAAAGCTTTTGGTGTGAACAACGCCTTAGGGATTAGCGACGCGCTGACTGGACTCAGGGGTTAGCGTCGCGTTGGCTGGACTCAGGGGTTAGCGTCGCGTTGGCTGGACTCAGGGGTTAGTGTCGCACTGGCTGGACTCAGGAATTAGCGACACGCCCCCCTGAGACTCCACAGAGTGCACCAGGCGCCCAGACGCCTCCACCTCTACCATGCCCCCCCTTGTACGGCCGATATGCATGTAAGGGGCCCAGGCCCCTCATATGAGTATCGGCCATACCCCCCGATGGCAGCCCTGCCTGTGTCTCCGATATGTTTGGCTCCTGTGCCAACCCCCCCCGTGTCCAGCATGTGGTTGTGGAGCTCCTCTCACCCTCAATCTGCTAGTGATTCCCCCCTCCTCCCCCCTCCTCCCTGTCAGCTCACCTTCTCCTCCTGGACTCCGTTTTGTGTTTCTGTGATCTTTAACAGGACACACGCGGGTCCGCACACTTCTCCCGGCTCACTCGTCTGTCAGCTGGGGATGTGGGCGGGGCGGATCTCTGCTGTTTAGTCTGGCCGAGTGGACGCTCTGTGCTCCTGATAAACGGAGCACAGAGCCGGCCATCGGCCGTAGCGGACCGGCCCGGCCCGAACACAATCAGGTTGATTGTGTTCAGCCCGGCCCACAGGGCAAATGCCCGGTTTGCCCTATGGCCAGTCCAGCCCTGGTTTCTTTCTAACACGTCTTATCCCACCACTAATAATAAAACAGGGATTATTCTGAACACTGCTCCAGCAGTTTGTAAAACTGTCAACGCTAAAGACATACTAAACAGATAAAAAACAGTTATTGATAGCGGCTGTAAAAAGAACTTGGAATACATTTGTCAGATGTCCACATGATGTTTCCTCCTTTGATGCTACTTGCCATAGAACCTCAATTAGGTGCCATGCCAGTAACACTGACGGGGCTGTGTGCTGTGTCTCCGTATAAGCAGAAGTTCAGGCAGCAGGAAGGGACTTTTCATGTCAGCGTTAAGCCGAACGTTGACATGTAACTGACATTTAAAGAAAAATCCAGATTAAATGAAATGGCTTGTCCTTGTGTATTCTCTGTGCCAGAGAACGACGTCTAACAAGCTGAGCATCGTACTGATGTAGCTGAGATGTCAAAATCCCCGCTAAGAAATGTGAAGCAAGGCTAATAGAAGATAAAGATTGGAGATACATTCCACTGCTCAGAATCATGAGCTGACCACTCACATTACATCTTGAGTGTACAATCCCCTTTAGATCTAACAGCAACGATGTAGTTCAAGGGCCTGCCTAATTACATAGGAATGCAATGGATTGTTTAGGTAGGCCCTTGCATATCATTTATTTTTTGTAAATCTAAAGAAGATTATATTGCAACATTTATGGTAATTTTAAGAGTTATAGTGACATTAAAGTCAGGACTTTAACTTAAAAAAGGTTACTATGGGGTTGCTACAGGTTACCATAGTTCTCTTTAGGGTCACGAGAGGACATATACTAACCTCCTCCCGTGACCCAATGCTCAGTTTATAGCGAGTCACAGCTTGCTATATACTGAGAGCGCCGCAGCTAGAACGGATCCTGACACTACTGTCGAGATCCACCCAGCTGACTGATTGACAGCGGTCTCTGCCTATCAAGAGGCAAAGCCAGATGTGCCCGCCCCCTCCCACATTTGTTCCTCCAGTCAGCTCTGGAGGATCGGAGAGGGAAGGGGGGAAGCCCTGCGGGGAGCAGTGACTGACAGTCACCGCTCTCTGCAGCGAGATGATTGGGAAGTGAGTGAGCGACGGTATGTGTTCGCTCACTTCCCGATCTATAGAGCCGACATGTGACAGTTTCATTGTCACACGTCGGCTCTAACTATGAGGATGAGTGTAAATCACTCATCTCATAGTTTTCCTTTTAAATCTAAAAAATGCATTCAAGTACCTTAACTATTTTAATTATAAACTCCAATTCCCATTTGGATGCTTTAGACTAGCTTTGTAAAATAACTTTATACCTCTCATTGATGTTTTTGCATCTATTTATTTTTTTGCACACATGTCAAAGGACACATTTTAGCTCTGAAGGTTACTTAAAATCCCATAGAAATATTTATTTTCTTTAAATTAATTTGAGCGCATATAAACACATTATAATACACATTTTTGGGTCAAAAATAAAACATGAGGCTTTGCCAAGAAAAAGATAACACACATGTCAAGCTTCAAAATTACGTGTGCCCATGAAATGGCAAAAAAAAACTATAGTCCATGGGCAACTAAATGGACAAAATTATCCATAGGTGACAACCATGAATAATGGCTGAAAAATTATTGCCCTCACTCTGGTGTGTGTGCCAATACCCAACATGTGTTGTGCAAATCACACGAAGGCATACTCAATGACTCTTTGTGTTCATATGTATGTATATGCTGGGGTGGGGGGCTTTGAAAAAATTGTGTTGTTTAACTTTATTTTTAAACTTTTATATTGTTACTTTATTGCAATCACATAGGGGGCTCATAATCCCGCTTCATGATAGCACATTAGTTGTGCCAGGTTCTCTTTAAGGAGACAATAGGGGTCTGTCAGGCCCCTATTGTCACGTTTGTATTCCAGTGAAGCTGATCAAGCACAGATCATGCTCGATCAGCTTTTCTTTGGCCACAGCAGCCAGAGAATGACAGCACTGTAAACCAAAAGTGACGGAAAGCTAATTCAGCACAGGGAAGATCAGCGGATGTTCATGGATCATCCTCTGCCCCAACTGCTGATACCTGCCATGCCAGTCCTGGGCTGGTGGGAGGGGCAGCAGAGCCCGGGATACAAGGCAGGGGTGTCTTAGTCAAATTGTTTGTTGTATAAGAAAAATGCCCTTTAGCGTGAAAACACGAGGAATTGACACTGACACATGTCTCAGAATAAGCAAGTTCTAGTTTATAGGCTTAGGTCACAGTTTAAGTATGTTTTCAGTGACTGACTAGACCTTATCTACAGAACAACCTTCTAAAGAGGCCAGTTAGTTGTAGCTGAAGCTAGTACTTGCTTACTGTTTAACTAGCTTATTGCAAAAAGTTGTTCTTTCACAGGGGGGTAGTTCGGCGGGAGGGGGGCAGGGATGTTACCCTTGGCAGCCCATACACTCCTCAGCATTCAGCACTTCCGGGAGTGGTAGATACCTGTTCCCCTGCTGTGCGTCATGGATTTATTCTCTGACCTCACATTTCTGCTGTGTCCTGAAGTCACCAAGGGAATCACAGCATGTACTTGGGGACTAGCATTTGGCACTCCTAGAAGTGTCCAATGCTGAATAGTCTGACCATGGTTGTAACCAGAGAAACATAGGGGACATGGGCTGCTGGTGAAGTGAGTATAGCAGCCTCTATTGTGACTGTAAGGATCACTTTAAACATGATGCTTAAACAATTCACAGTATATATTCATCTTCCCTTTTCCTTCACAACATTACATTTATTAAACTTTAATATATTATATTTATATGTGGGTCAAGTGGCTATCTTCATGGTATATATACAGTACATCTTTACTTAAAGACATCAGTTTCTATGCTGTATACCTCATTCCATGTTCCTCCGTGCAGTTGTTGAGGGATTAGAATGAGATGTCTGTAAAAGCCTTCCATTAATTTGTATTAGCGGTTATCTTCAAGTCCCATTCTAATAGCAGTAACATTCTAAGGACCCTTGAACTCCAGAGCGCAGTCATAACATTTCTGAATCTAGCTTAATGCTATGAGTGGATCTGTCCCCCGGCGCTTTACATCCTCTCTGGGTGGATTAAGACTACATCTGCTTATTGAGCTATGTTTAGTATCTGACATTTATTGTTAAATGCCTGCAATTAATTGTGTATTTTGAATGTATTAACAAGCCGTGTTGCATCCCCACAGGTATGATCTGGTCGGAATGTAAGGAGATTTGGTCGCAAGGTCCCCGAGAGTACCTGTTTGAGCTGTGGAATATCCTGGATTTCGGAATGCTGGCAATCTTTGCAGCTTCCTTTATTGCCAGGTTCATGGCATTCTGGCACGCATCCCGAGCACAGAATTTTGTTGATGATGATGAGAACATTAAAGATGTGAGCAGCGCCACGTTGCCTCCTGAAATAAAATATTACACGTTTGGTGAGAACGCTAAAACCACCCATTTATACACATTTAAAAAACATTTTATTTTACAATGCAAGTTTATAACAAAATTAATCATTTGGTTAGAAGTGAACTTGCTGAGCTGAGTCCCGCTCTGGCTTCTTATATCTCTTGGGAACTCCAGCAGGTAGATTTCCCTGCTACAGTACCTGGCTCTGTTCCCACCCACTGCAGGGTTTTGGAGGGTTCCTGCCCTCTTAAGGGTGCTCCCACTCCACCTGTTACATTATTGATAATATAATAAATTAAGATTCCAGCAGAGAGTGGAAACCCCTCATAATGGGAAAAGCAAGCCCTGGAACTCAAGTGCAGTTATCTTTCCAAAGGGATCTCAAGAGAAACTCTCTCAACATCAGTTTTGTGTTGACTGACTCTTTAACCTAAACCCAAAACCTAACCCTAAAAATGAACCCTTAGCACTTAACCTAATCCTAACACCCTTTATCTACTTCTGATAATTAAAGCTCAACTCCAGGCTTATTTTTTATCAAAAAGGTCCTCCAGTTATTGTTTAAAAAAAAAGAGCAACTCAGGCTGCAATACACACCTTCAATCCTGAGCTGTCCTCTGTAGTACCTCTTCTTTGCCACAAGATGTTCTCAATCTTCCCGGTTGAATAATCTGACTGCATTGCTTAGAGATGTACATAGACTTAGTAATGAGGTAAAATATGTTATGTGAAGAAAACATGTTTTATTTAAAATGTTTATGGGGGAAGAAGAATCCGGGAAGTTCGTATTGAAGCAGGTTAAACTTCAGCTCTACAATGGCGCCCTTCATTGGCAGTGTACTGATGCAGAGAATGGTGCTGATATCATTAACACTGTGCTCTGCATCAGCGAGGACCAACCCAGAGAAGCCCAGAGCTGCATAGCCCAGAGAAATGATGGGGAGGAAGAGAACCCCGCAGCATAGTGCGACCAGCTTGAAATCTTCTGAAAAGGTGAGTATCAAATCACAAAAAACATTATTGGTGGGCATAAGACCTACAGACCCTGTAGTTGGGCTTTAATTCTTAACTCCTTTATTTACCTTACCAGGAAGCTTGCTCACCCATTGCTACCTTCTGCACATTCCTTTTGGCCAATAAAGGCCATTATAGTGATTGGCCAAGAGTAATGTGTTGGGGTGGGGCTTAGCAGCAAGCTGTGGTCCTACCTGGAAGTGATGGATCTTTGCCTATAAGAATGGCCTAAGATTTGGCTGTAACAGGTTTAGGATGGTGTTGCATGAATTAGGGCTGCAGCTAACGATTATTTTCATAATCGATTAGTTAGCCAATGAATGTGCAGGCACCTTTAGGTATACACCTGCAGCTGTATTGTCCCCTTTCCCTGAGTCTCTTTAAGTTTTTTCTTGGTGTTACCATTGCTTCAAAGTACACTAGTCATGAAGGAAACATAATGACTATCATTGCTGATCTCTTCTTTCCAAAATGCTAGTTTCCTGGCTGATTTGGTGATCCTTTTACAGCAATACTTTGAGTCACTGACCAAAAAGAATGCAGTTAGGAAATCTGACTTTTCTTATCTCTACGCATGTTTAGGGTGTAGAAATTACTGAAGCCAGTGGGTCCACTAGCAGACAACCAGCCAGCTAGCATTTTCAGAAGGAGGTCAGCAATTGCAGGTTTAGTTTCAGCTTCAATCCTTTCCTTTCTCCCTTACCCCTCCCACCTCTTACAGCAAAATGGATGATCATGTTGTTTTTTTTACCATTGTGTACCGTTGTTTGCACCATTACTTTTATTTTTTTTCCTTTTTTTTAGCAAGGATAAAATGGCTGCCCTCTGATCCTCAGATCATATCAGAAGGTCTCTATGCAATCGCTGTGGTCCTCAGCTTCTCCCGCATCGCCTACATTTTACCAGCTAACGAAAGCTTTGGCCCACTGCAGATATCATTGGGAAGGACTGTAAAAGACATCTTCAAGTTCATGGTCATATTTATTATGGTGTTTGTGGCCTTCATGATAGGAATGTTTAACCTTTATTCCTATTACCTTGGAGCTAAACAAAATGATGCATTTACCACGTAAGTTTTGCAGGATCGGACTGATGTTGGTCCAAGGGAACGACGCTCCTGTCTGGGGAACTATGTGCGTGGGTACATTGTTTTTTTCTTGGAAGTTCCCTTTTTTGATTGAGGGGGTCATTACAGTTTTTCAAGGGATTCAACTGAATTTCCAGGAAATGATAAGTAAAAATATATGTAAAAGGTGCTACGAGCCAAAAGATTTGTAATTCTGTTCAGGCAGGCTTATGATTAGGGATGAGCTTGGATTTGGTCCATGGATGCTCTATCAGCAGTGTCTGGGGCATTCCCTGCCCTGCAGCTGCATGTAAACAATATTATGGCCGTATGAGGTCAACGACATTAAGCTCTATGATGTCACCAGCAAACTGACCCTTTGTTTACATGCGATTGTAGGGCGCTCGCAGCTGATTGGGTGTGTAACTTCTGGATTTGGAAAAATACAGGTTCAGCCCAAACCTGAGGTCATCCCTACTTATGATTCACATACCTCTACCACACTGTACAGTCATGAAGATTACTTTACTACTACCAGGTTCCATTTAGCTAATTCCTGGGTCACTTCCTTGCTCACTGAACAGAGTTGATGATGTTGATACATTGTGCAATGAAAAAGCTGTTGCTGCCAAAGTGATATAGAATGCTGTAAAGTTGAACCATGGAAATAGGAGTGTTACCTACCTGATTGTGCAGTGAAGGTGGGATGTGGTAATCATAAGACTGCCTAACGGAATGATAAATACTTTATAGTGACAAAAACTGTACACAAATATAAATTCAATGCTGCATTTAGTGGTTTGCCTGGAGTTTTGCTTTGAGTTCCCCTCATACAGATGGTATTTTCACTTCTGAGACTTCCAGTTCTCAATCCCAGCATGGAATTTGCAAAGGCAAGTACACTCAAATATGATGAGAGAAAATGCAATATTAGCCAGAAGCTATTTCTTGTTCTTCTGGTGGTTTAGCTTTCTGAATTGAGCTTTTGATGTACAGTAGTAGAAAACATGACCAGGTTTTCCAACAATCTTAGGGGTGGTGTTGACCTACCCTTCTAAAAAAATGCCAGTAAATTGGCTGTCATGCAGATCCAATGATAGGCAGAGCAGGAGCCCTGATTCTACTTCACAGGTGGCTTGCTTGCTCCAGGTCAGTAAATTAGCAGGTTTTGAAGATAGAGGTAGCCAAGTAAACTAGCATTTTCAGAAGTCAATAGTGGCAGACTTCACATTTCTGTGTGCTGGTGTCTTTTAATTATTATCATATTTACCTTATACAGGATCCATGGCTGATATGATTCAGTCAATGCCTTATCTTGGCTTAAGTACACCCTAGAATTCATGTAATTTATATGTGCCCACCCAGATAGCAAGGATAGCGTGCCACAAACGTGTGGCAGAGTTAAATTGTAATTCTTGTTAACTTGCTGCACACATTCCTGGCAGGTTGTAGACTTGCAGAACACTTGCAGCACAAAGTTCTAGTTGATACTTTTTGAATTTGTAGCAAATTTGCTTGGCAAGTCTACAGCAAGAGTCCTGCAGGTCTTAGCAAGTGTTCAGCACGTTTGCAAAGCACGCTGATCTGGAGACTTGCAATGCAGACTTGCTGTACTTGGCAAGTCTGCAATATGTTAGCAAGTCATTTTCAAACTTGCACCTCAATTGCTTGCTATCTGGGCAACTCTAATCCAAACTTTTTATTTTGCGTTGGATACAGTGGGTAGGTTTGGGGTCCATTCTCCTCACATGCGTTGGGGCTGTGCTGGCCGTTGTTTCCTTATCACGGATGGACAACTTTCACACCACCACATACGGCATGCCTAACGTTTTTTCAGAGCAGCGAGATGCGATGCAGAACAGATGCCTCACACCCCGTTGTGCCCCTAGAACTTAATGAAATATCGCTTGTGACATTTCAATAATGTTCTAAAAAACAATTGCACAGTTCAATTGGCGCGTCGGCACGGTGTTGAACACTGAACACCAGCCGTAGTGCGTTTTCTGCAGTGGCTTGTGTAAGTGGGCCCTTATAGCCTCGGTCAAGTTTTATGTTGTCTTCTATGTCTATACGAGGGAAATGCAAATAATACCATACATACACCAAGATATTGTTCCAATATATCCTTTATGTTAGTAAAAATAACATATGCAATGTTTCAGGTCCACACAGGGTCCCTTTAACTAGGCCAATGCAGAGCCCCAAAGAGTATTTTATTGTGACTAAAAAAAAGCAAATATGGAAAGCAGATCTTGGTGTGCCGATAACATTCATACATGCATGTGCAGAATGGTGTCATCCATTCTCTGTCTCCTTATCACCCAAGATCAAATAGGCTAGTCACCTCACCGAGTGTAGCTGGGAGTTTTCTATCCTTGCAGTTGGGGAGATTTCCCTGTAGGGACACAGACAAAAACAAATTTATAGTAGAGCAAAGAATGGTTAGAACACCTAACAATATTTGTTATCACTGTCTGTTTCCTTCCTGTGCCAGTGACAAACTTCTCCACTATTTATTGTACAGATGTCACAGAGACAGGAAGTAAGTCAAAATCTTCTCAATAGTGCTGCAGGCAGTATTAAAACTTTTTCTCTGAACTCTTTCCTACTCCAAAACTAAAAAATCATCTTGGCTTGAGTCAGTTTTTAAGTTAAACTGCCAATTTGGGAAATAATTGTGGATTCCAGCCTTTGTGGGAAAGGCAGGAGAACCAAACTATACCTTAAACTTCTCATACAAATAAAAGAAATTGGTAAGTAAGTCACCAGAACTAAAGAATCACTTTTGAGTGGAATTGGGTTCTCAATCAGACCTTGATAGATCTATGATATATCCCTGCTTGATATGAAGAAAAAACAAGGTAACATTGTATAATATTAGTTGCATATCCACAGTGTATCCATTCAGAAGCACTGATGATAAGTTAACACTTTTGGGAACCAAAATCAATAAACTAGCCAGAAATGTATCTGTAAATCTTATAAAATAATTACAGCGTAATAAAGAATCCTCGTCTGTTTCTTATTTCAGAGTTGAAGAAAGTTTTAAGACTTTGTTCTGGGCAATTTTTGGACTCTCAGAAGTAAAATCAGTTGTCATCAACTACGGACATAAATTCATAGAGAATATCGGATATGTTCTCTATGGAGTGTATAATGTGACCATGGTGATTGTCCTATTAAACATGCTGATCGCCATGATTAACAACTCATTTCAGGAGATCGAGGTGAGCTGCAGCTTCTTCAGTGCTTGTGTATAAAATAATTTTCAGTGCCGAAAAAGAGTGGATTGTTCTTCCGTATGTAAATGAAGCAGTCTGTGGAGGAGTATCCTTAAAGTGGACTTTGCATGAAGTCAAATACAACCTTTTACCCAGAATAAAAAAATGCTACATTAAAGCAAAAATATTAAAAAAAACTTTAACAAAGGAAACTTGCATTGTGACTTCCATCCCACTCAAGGGTGACATCGTGGAACTTCTTGCATGAATCTGGGAAAACTCAGGATCTCAAATCCACAGTATGCACAGTATGGGAGTGCAGTCTCCCTGAGTAGAGGATCCTCGACTTTCCCAGGATCCTCGAAAAGGTCCTAGGCTAATGTAACAGGAGCCACAGGGCGCACTTTGCCTTTCTGCCTTAGGTGCTAAAGAGGTATCTTGCCCCAGCACTATATATACATATATACTGTATTTGCCATTCTGACAATTCTATTGAGGTAACACATTGTGAGTAACACACAATGCTAAAGTGTGAATCCAATGTAATGAATTGAATCCGTGTAATGACTTGCCCTCGGCTTCCTGATTCGTCAGAAAGCCAGTTCCATGCTTGCTCATCACCTGGTGACGAGGGAGCATGGAGCTGGTTTCCCGGCTAATCAGGAAGCCAGGCAGCAATTCATTACATGCCGCCCAGCTTCCTTAATGGAACTTTCAGCATCGATATCAGTGAGTACCGAAAAAAAAAAAACCGGTACACGATACCGAAAAACTGGTATCGGTGCATCCCTAATTGTCATGCAAGGTCAACACCAGCACAAATGTTATATTTAGTTTTGGATAGAGCAGTAAAGAGATGGGCCCTCTGTTTTTATTGATGTGTGCATCTCTTTTGGGAAGATTGTGTCATGCTTCCTGTCAGGACAGGAAACTGTGAGAAGTTTGTAAAATGGTAACACAGACAATATATATACTGTGTGTGTGTGTGTGCGTGTATATGTATAAAGTGACACTAAACTCAGGAGTTGAATCTTAAAAATGCATTCAAGTACCTTTAACTATCAACAAAAATGCATCTTATTTGTGTATCACTCGGCTGCAGATCCTCAAATCATCTCTGAGTTGGTGCTGACACTGTCCTTCCTTCTGGAGGGTGGATACTTTTGTTCCTCATGGTCCCTGTGTGTGTTGTAAAGTAGTCACCGCTCCAACCTTGCTCCCATGATGGACTACAATCTCACATTTAGTTTATCAATTTGTATTGCGATATAGTCTATTCAACTAGCATAAGCAATAACATAAATTGTTAATAGTTAAGGTTCTTCAATGCATTTTTAGGATTTAACTCCTGAGTGTCACTTGTTGCTGCCTTTAATGATCTTACATTTTTCACAACTTTAAAGTAAACAAAAGTATAATTCATCCTTCTATTCATTCTATGGCTTATACTATTTTTTTTTTAATGTTAGTAAGTATAAGATTGCAAACATTTGTAGTCATTGGAAAGGCACCATGAAATAAGCCTGGAGGGGCTCATTAATGAGATCCAGCCCTGAAAGGGAGGAGCATTGTTATAGCTCTTAGTTCTTGGAGAACCTGCAGAAAGTCACTCAAGCTGGTTCAATGTGCTTTTTGAAAAGCCTGAAATTCTGCTTGAGTTTTTTTACTTCATTTCATCTGAAGTACGTCTGAGATACTGAACACTGTTCTCACAAATTCTTCACTTCCATTGTTGGAGATTTTCCATTTATCTAACTTCAAAGTAGCATACATCCACAGTGTGTCCCCTTTGGAGAGAACCAACAACAGACCCATATTACTTTAACCACTTTTTAAAAAAAGAGTTCTTTGCCTATTGTTAAAGCATTCTCAGTGTGGTGAAGGGCAGTGCTGTAACTGCTAAATCATAACTCCGGGTTTAGGTTTGTGTTCAGAAATAAAAGCAAAATGATAGAATATAATGGAAGCTAAATAAGAACACCAGCATTCTACTGCATTCATCATCTAAACACACTCTATTCTCAAGTAACTATACTCCCTCCCCTTTCATTCTATTTTATTAATCTGTAAGAACACTAATCTATAGTATAACAAAAGACAGACCTGGAGATAATGAGCTGAGGGGCTGCATGACTGGGGGGGGGGGAGGAAAGGGGAAAATAAAGGGGGGAAAAAAGAGTGAGAATTAGTAGATCTTACCTGATTGGAGGTAGGGGGTCAGGTGTCGGTGAGGAGCTGGATGGAAAGGAACTACAAGGGCTGATGGTAGTCCTTTCTGATCAACAAAGGAAACAGGTTGTCCTGCCCATCTTCCCCTAATTTTTGCGGTTGATGGTGGTTGGAATAGTTGTTTTTGTCATGGGCTGCTTGGCGGGTTAGGGGTTTTTTGGAGGTCTGTAAAATGTGATTCAGTCACAAAATGGGGGGAATCAGGTGGTATGGTGCTTCCCACATTGGCGACGGTTTTTGTCAGGGGGGGCTCAGCTCCTTTAGGAAGTTAAGAAGCAGTTACTATCCTAGAGCTGGTGGGGGTATTGTTGGGGACATGGGAGCGGTTATCGTAGAGGCCTTATGTTGGCTGATGGGCACCCAAAGACCCCTTCTCAGATCCAACAGTCATTCAGATTATTTATTTGTATGCTATTTTGATTATTATGTTTGGTAATTGTTAATTTTTATATGATTAAATAAATGGCTGCTGTGGCCATGTAAATCCATGTCGCGCAGTCCATGTGTTAATTGGGGTCTTAACAGAGGGGACATAATGACGAATACATCAGTCAAGCAAAACATTCAACTAAAAATAGACTGTGCTAATACACAAAGAAAAAACATTGTGTGATGTCGTGAAATTTAGCTGAAATTAAATGTTACGAAGAAATAGTGACATTTAATCACACTGTATCAGTTTAATACATTTTTATATCTCTTGCTAGTGTGCATAGAAAGAAAAACTGTATTAAAACTTAAGAAAATATAGAACTTATGATAACATATTCATTTAAAGTGTACCTATCATGAAATATATGCGTGCTTGTTAGGTGCCTGCATGCTAGGTAGTGTACATGGGAAGCTAGCCATACACCATAACATATTTCTCGTTCAGTCCTGCGGGCAGAATGAGAAAAATCATTGAGTTCCCCCATCTGTGCTAAAGCATATGGATGGAGGAATCTCCCTTGGCAGCCACTGTATTTAGAAAAACGTCCTCCACAGTTGTCAGAATACCCAGAAAGTGATGGCAGCTGAGTGGCTGCCGTGACTGTTTGGCTGACAATTTTCCACACAACTCCTTTAACAACTCGAATACAAAATGTATCATTGTCAAGCTGACAGGTCCACCCCCACCCATGGATTGAATTCCGGCTGACTCAGCAAGAAAGGTTGCATTTTAATCTGTGGATGGCCAACTTAATGCTTATAGTTTTGTTTTTCACGGAGATCACAGTACTCCCGCTGACAATGCCTTCACTCCCTGTCTTCTCAGAAGGCCAGTACCATTTTTGTTTAGGCATTATCCTGTTTCAGTAAAAACTTCCTGGACTAAGTTGCCAATCCAGAGGTACCACAGTCATGTGAATCATGTTGAAGCCCACACAATGGTCTCTATATTTTTGGTTGATATTGTGTCAAAAAGATTAGACTCTCTCCTTGTTGTAATGTTGCAATCTGATCGCTGGGGGAGAGGAGACTGAGTAAATGCTCCATTCTTCTTGCAGCAGACTGATGGCATCATCTCAGCCTAGACACAGTAATATGATTGGACCATAAAGTATTATTAAACCCTGGGTTTCCCATTAGCAGCACATTGCTATTTAATATCACTAGTTCCTTTATTTTGCCCCAAAGACTCACTTTTTTTGTTTCAGTCCCAGTGTCCTCACAGCTCTACCCAGAACTCCCAACCAGGGAGTGAGCACTGCTCAAATCAGGCAACAGTCTATTATTTTGCGGCATTGGGACTACATGCCCCATTATTCCCTGTGCTACAGGTCCCTTTGCGCATGCACACCTTTTACAATTTACCATCTGCTGGTTGCATCGTGGTGCTGTGTGTGTCAGCGTGAGGGTGGCTCCAATGATCCTTTGCAAGGTAATGGAGTCACCTTCTAGGGGGAACCCAATGCGATAAGTGGTTGTGGACATATTTTCCTGCAAAAAGCTCTAATGGTAAAAACAGAAGAGCACCAACAAGTACTTGTGTAAGAAATGTATTCAAAGACATTTATACTGATGAGTCCACTTTAAAATGTATTTTGTTTGTTAAAAGCCCCATAACAGCAGGCTAGCAATGAAAGCTACTGAGCACACATTTGTACATGAACAAGTGATGATCATTCCCTTTTCTGTGTAGAAAAAGGCACAAACATTTCAGCATATACTGTATGTGTTGCATTCATTATTGTTAGGGCAGACCACAATGGGTGTGTAGATTCCAGTGAGGACGGTCAGACATATTGTCTCATGTCATTCTCAATGAGTGATCTGCCATTCTATGAGCTCAGTTATAGATGGCCTTGGTCTAGCTTGTCTTTTCCAGCTAAAAATAATTGGTATTAATCTGTTTGTGCAACATGAAAACTCATCAATGTCCTTTGAATTAGAGCCAGGGACATTTATCCTATCCCTCATTGGTGCCATTCCAGTTTGTTGTGGCTCCATCAGCATTTGTTTAAAATACTTCTCCAAGGTCCTCCACATCAGTCAGGATCAGAAGATAATAACAGCCATGCCTGTTTAGTGGTTGTTGTCAATATATTGCCAAGAATATAAAAAAAGATAAAAGGCACCCAGAATATATTTATGGTATAAGCGCAACCTGCACTGTGTCAAGGGGGGAAATTGTCAGTTACAATGATTGGCTGGAATCATGTTTAACATAACTGGAGACTTTGGAGTCAAAAATAAACTTGTACAGTATAAATAAATCTCCCAGCTGCCATAGAATCTGATTCATAATGATAAATAAAAATGGCCTTTAATAACAGTTTACAATGGGGTTTTTTGTATTTATTAAAAAGCTGTCATGCTACATTAGAATCTACAGCTGAAGTTTATCCAATTCCTTTCTTGAACTTCTTGATAATTAAAGACCACCAACATCCACCAGCATGTATTATTTTAGTTATTGGTGGTATCGGGTAGATTGAGTCAGCCCCTGGTTTCTGATTTGCCTAGCACTCTCCAACAGAGAGATTCCCCCTGCTATGATTCCGGTCCACCTGGGATTTTTCATCCACCTGCGCGTTCCAGAATGATCTGTTCTATTCTTCATGACGTGAATACAAAAATCTAGCGGGGAGAATGGAAATCCTCTAAAATGGCCACAACAGTTATGCAGATGCGGGAACTAAAAGCGACAGTAAACTAAAAGCGACATTAAATCTTAAAAATACATTCAAATACCTTAACCATTAACAAAAATGTGTCTTATTTGTTTATCACTCAGCTGTAGATCCTCAAATCATCTCTGAATTGGTGCTGACACTGTCCTTCCTTCTAGAGGGTGGCTACTTTTGTTCCCCATGGTCCCTGTGTGTGTTGTAAAGTAGTCACCGCTCCAAGCTCACTTCTGTGACGGACTACAATCTCAATACAAATGAGTAAAGTAAACATGAGAGTTAGCTTGGAGAGGTGGCTACTTTTTAACACACACAAGGACCAGGGAAACAAATGTAGCCACCCTCCAGAAGGAAGGACAGTGTCAGCACGAATCAAGAGATGATTTGAGGATGTACAGCTGATTGATGCACACATAGGTACAGTATTATTAATAGTTAAGGTACTTGAATGCATTAAAATCTCTAAATTCCAGCATTTTTTTTTATTTTGTCCCCTTCACTTCCTCTTTACGGGACTTACACATTTCTGTAAGCTCATAGGCTACAGCTGGTAGGTCAGTAACATTTGATATAGTCACAACTGTGGCCAGGTAAGCATGTTACAAATATGAGTATTTGAACTGAATGCACTTCACTGAACTGTTTTTATTCTTAGTTATATTATTACTTTATGCCCATTTGCTTTTTTCATTGTTACATATCACTATGTATACTGTAAAAGTAACAGTTTCTGATAAGTAATGATTGTGTGATATTCTTCTTTCAGGATGACTCTGATGTGGAATGGAAATTTGCTAGAGCTAAACTTTGGTTTTCCTACTTTGAGGAGGGGAGGACCCTGCCAGTACCTTTCAACTTAGTTCCAAGTCCCAAATCATTCTTCTTTATTGCACTGAAAATAAAATCACTTCTTTATAAAATATTTTCCTGCCAATCCAAAGCTTTACAAGAGGATTCTGAAATGAACAAGGTACATATATTTACAGTATATGTGTGTTCCAGGGACGTGTGGTCAGGAGAGGCAGGTGAGGGGGAGCCTTACCTAGCATTATGCATGAAGAAGCTGTCAGCTTCAAGTCTGAAGCTGACAGCTTTTTCTCCATTCATATCGGCTTGTTGCAGGTTATACAGCAAGGAAAGCCTCCCTGCTGTGTAACCTGCCATGGACGGAGCGCTGCCTGTTAATTACAGGCGGCACTGCATCAAGCTTTTGACATGTAGTTAGGTTACACAGCAGCGGGCTTCTCCACTGCTTGTGTAACCTAACTTGGTGAGGCAAGAGCTGTCACAGCCTGTACTCTGTTTTAGAGGCGTGAGCTCTTTGGATGGCTTGGACCAATGGCAAAGCGATCTCGATGCCTCACCAGTGACGAGTAAGTGAGGGACAGGGAGGCTCCTCCCTTCCTCCTCCCCACACAGCTTTGTTACCGAGCTGGGGGTGGGGCTTCAGTTGGATGGAGCCTCTGTGTGATGGGGCGGAGCTTCCGCGGGCTGGAGGATGCCTCACCCAGCACAGAAGGCATGGCACGTCACTGGTGTGTTCACTGAGATCTGTGTATGTTTCTTTCTGGTATCTTCCATTTCAGGTCCTTGGCAAAGTCAAAAGCCATGTACACATTGTCTGCAATAAAAGGGTCTGATACTATCCTGAGGCAAGACAGGGTTCTTGTTTTAGATAGCGCCATTTAGGGGCAGCAGAAAAAATGGTACTCACCTTACTTCCCTCAGCATTTCCAGCTGCATGGGACACCAGCAAAACAGTCCAGGGTTGCAAGTCTTAATATTTAGTGAAAGGGACCTTGTGCTTGGAAGGCTGTCTGTAGCTTCCTTTACACTAACCATATGGCCCCTGGCTACGTATGCTGTGTTCAGTCCAAAAAAGCATTCCTGTTTGACAAAGCCATAACCAAAAATAGCTACATATTGTTGGGGGCTCAGCTCCCGGCAACCAATGACATCAGTGAGCTGGGCGGGAAGCCGGAAAGAACATCACTGGTTGCTAAGAGCTCTTGGCAACTTGGGATGCTCTGGCAAACATGCCCCCCAATGAGCAATTGCCTTAGGCTGCCTCATTGTAGGGACATCCCTGCTCTAGCCTTTCCATTCAGGGCATGCATGCTCTCTTGCTGCCCCCCTAATACATGGATCCACACCGGTCTCCAAGCTTTCCTGGGTGGATGACATCCCTGCTCCCCACATGACAGTGTTCATGCCTGGTGATTGACTGCTCAGGCCCTATTGCTGTCACATGAGGAGGAAGCTTGCCCACTCCATCAGAACAATTGAGCAGGGGCTCAGATGGAGTGTGGAGGTTGCAAGGAAGCAGGGATAGATGTGCATACCTTGCTGGGAGTGGGGTATCAGGAGACACTGTTACTTTTCCCTGAATGTGTCCCTATAACATTGGTGGTCAGAGGTGAGTAGCATATAATATACCCCTTTTCACACATCCCCAAAGCCAATCTGTGTTTAACCCCAAAGCCAGTCTGTGGTAAACAACTGCTGTAATGCCCCCTCTGCACAAGTACCCACTTTTTATTTGCTGTTCAGTTGACAAGAGAGAAGAAAATACGTGATACTCCGATTTGTGGAGGAGCATTCGACTTATTCCATGTCACAGTGCTGATGCTTGATCATTGGACAAATGCTGTTAAAAGGGGACAAGGATAGCTGGAGGGATTTGGATGAATGTAAAAGGAAAATAGATATTCCTTTCAATGGGTTTCCAGTTGAAACTGAGGGAGTTATTCACAAAGCTTCCGAAGGCAGCCGAGTGAATAACCCAGCTGAAGTGAAGTGAGCCGAACGCGGTTCGGCTTTTCACTTCCGCTCAGTGCGGCTGATTTCAGCTGTACATCGGCTGCCTTGGGTCAGCCAAACATGCTCTGTATGTTCGGCTGAGCCGAAGTGCAGAAGGAGTTCGACTCAGCTGATCCAACATCAGGATCGGCTCAGACGAAACTCCGGCAGCTCACTCGCTGCCGTTCGCCCCCATTCTCATAGGGGCCGAATGGAAGTGAGTGAATAGCCAAATGCCGCCAAGCAGCATTCGGCTCGGCTATTCTGCTCGGTACCTCCGTGGTACCGAGCAGGATATAAAATCAGTAAAAAAAAGTTACAAAAAAAGTATAAAAACTATTTTAAAATGTGAACAAATAGTTAAATTCAAAAATAAATAAAGATTTTTTTTAAATAACATAAAAAAAGAAAAACAATTGGGCGGAGCTATCAGTGACAGTTTCCTATTGGCCGGCACATGCCAGAGTCTTCTAGCAGATCCCGGCCAATGAATAACTGTTATTGTTGTTTAAAGAAGAACTATGGGGTTAAGGCTTTTCCCCATAGTTCTCCTTAGGGTAACGGGAGGACACAAACTAGCATCCTCCCGTCACCCTAGGCTCAGTATACCGCAAGCTGTAGCTCGCGGTATACTGAGACGCTGCAGTATACCGCAAGCTGCTCCTTGCGGTATACTGAGACGCCGCAGCTGAACCGGATCCCAACAATTGTGCCGGGATCCGCCCAGCTGCGTGACTGATAGCTGACTCTGCCTATCTAGAGGCAGAGCCAGCTGTACCCGATGACAGATCAAGTCCCCAGGTCATTTGGGGACGCTGATCTGTCATTACAACTGTGTGGAGCCAGCCGTGATCTCGCGGCTGGCTCTGCCCTGCTGTCATTTGTGGGGCTTATGGCCGGCCTTTGGCAGCCCGTTCGACCCCCCTTTGTCTGTCACTTCGGCTCAGTCGAGCCAAAGCATAACCCTTCGGCTTGGCAGAGCCGCTCGGCCACCTTCGGCTGCTGTACAGGTTATTGTGAATAGCCCTCGACTGCACCAAAGGGCTACGGCAGCTGAAGAGAGCCGAATGTTCCAGCCGTAGCTTCGGCTGATCATTCGGCTCAATGATCAGCCGAAAACTTTCAGTTGCAAAAACCTTTTTAGCCAAAATAATATTTTAATTGTGCCATTTAATTTCCTTCCATTGTAGTTAAAGTATATCTTGTGCTTGTGAATGATCTCATTATAATCACAGTCCATTCTCTTCTTTGTAGAGCACCCCTCCTCCCTTCCTTTAAATTGAGCACAACGAGTATATTTATCTGACATTTACTTTGCACTCTTAGCCAGTGCTGGCCAAAGGAAGTGACATCTTTGGTTCACATGTGTGACGTTTGATCATTCAGCAACTATCCAGCTGCATTGGTTGCTCTTTTGTGTTAGTTCTGCTAAAGTATAATTAAAATCAGAGACTCTTGTGTTAGTTTAGATCTGTCCTTTTAGATAGTTTTACAGTTTGATTCCACGTGGTTCATAGAGGTCATATGTTTTCAAAAGCCAAAGAAAAATAGACTTGATTTTCTTTGTGTTTGTGGTCACCAAGGATGCACATCGAAACGTTTTCTTATTCTTTGGCATTGAACTAATGTTCTACTTCAAGAAAACTATTATATTGAAATTAGGCAGCGTCTATTAACATTTTATAACCTTCTTTTTTATGTATGGTTTTTAATTTTATATTTATGTATATGATAATATTTCTTCATGATAAGTTTCTTGCACAGAACTTAGAGCACAGCAGATGTATCTGACTGTGGAGCCTTTGGATGGTTCTTTTCAACGTTTACAAAGAAAGCAGCTTTTGTAAATAAAGTGGTACTAAACTCAGGAGTTAAATCTTAAAAATACATTCAAATACTTTAACTAGTAACAAAAATGTATCTTATTTGTGTATCACTCGGCTGTAGATCCTCAAATCATCTCTGAATTGGTGCTGACACTGTCCTTCTTGCTGGAGGGGGGCTACGTTTGTTCCCCATGGTTCCTTTAATGCATTTTAATGTATTTTTAAGATTTAACTCCTGAGTTTAGTGTCACTTTAAGCTTATTCAGACGCTTTTAAACAGTAATAAAGTAAATATGTCAAGCCAAAGACGTTTTGTATTGTTTTGAATAGAGTGGGGAAGGATTAGAACTCCTGCTGGGTTTTTACTGCTATCTGGCTAGACATATTAGGTATCACCATGCATGATGGAGTGGGAGGAATACTTCTAGGCTCATTGATGAGCTACAGGGGTTTTAAAGGCATCACTTTAAATATAACATTTTGAGTATTGTAGTATGTTGCTGTTTTGCGGGCACATGCAATTTTGAGGCCTGACTTGTTTCGTATCTTTTGACTTGGCACAGTCACATCTTTTATATTTTCCAAAGAAATTGGGGATTATATTGTGTTTGTGTTCACTAAAATGTATTTTCATATATTTTTTCCTGGAACTATATAGATTTGATAGAGTTGTGCAACATAAAAATGTGTAACAACCATCCTGTTATTCTTCAGGTACTCTGATTTCAAAATAATATAGAAGGGTGTGGGTTTTATAAGTAATGTCCAGGTCATACATGCACATTTTAGTATGTGTGTTAAAGATAAAAAGTTAAAGTTAATATGAAATGTATTTAAACTATTTCAAATGCTGATGAAATCACTTACAATAGAGGCTGCTTCTTGATGTTTACAATGTTTAGCTTTCTGCAGAATCAGCTGGTCCTCTGAGCACTGGTACTGATATCCTGTTTTAGGGGGGCTCCTTTACCTTGCCGGGTTCTATGCAGCCACCCTTGTGTGTGCTAGTAAGCTGTGTGTCTCTGCACAAACACACAGCAGAGCAATCCAATCCTCTGCTCCTTGCTTTTTGCTCCTCTTCCCCCCTTTCTCCCTTTTCCAAGCAAGTAGATGGACGTCTGCTGGAGACTGTGGTGTCCTTGTGATCTTGTACTGGACAGGAAGTTCAGGATAGTAGAGCTGAGAGAGTGGAGATGTTTGGAAACATGATGACTGCAAATGCTTGAGCAAAAATATAAAGAAATATTTTGCTGGGCACCGTATATTTGTTTGATATGGATTTATTATTATTTAAAAAAAATGAGTTTTATACTACTTTAAATATGACTTGCGTACAACATACCTG